AGCACCTCTAGTAATATATTTACTGAGAAAAATGGTGACGTGTTCAATACTTATTTTACCCGCTGTATCTGCTGTTTTACATGATTGTTGAATGAAATTAACATAATATAACATGTTACAGATAATTTGTGACACAGATCCAGTTGGGCTTKCTGTTAGTCTAATAGTTGATATGATGACTGTGAGATGATGCCCTGTTTGGTCGCCATTGTTGTTCCTCCATGTTGTCACTGACGCTAACAGTGGACAGGATAGGTGGGACTCAGTCTAGGATTATTCAAAGATTAGTAAAATTAGCATTAGCAGTAGTAGCACTAGCAGAAGTATTCTAATGAATATTATAAAGGCACTGATGATATTAAAGGATTTGAAGAAATCTAAATGTATTTTAACAGTTTATTGAAAAGTACACATAGATGAATGTCTAAAACAGCAGAACGTRTGCAGAAGCCGTTAAAGGCTTCATGCTTCATGTTCTATGATCCACGCTGAGTTGGCATTCACACAATGAATAAATGGTTTTATGTTTTGCTGACTCTGATGTGGGGTAGATCCCTCTTTGGAGCACTTATCGGCTCAAAGATCAAATACATGGTTTGTGCAGTGTTTGTGCTCTGGCTTGTGAAGMTAAGTGAAATGAACGTGTGCTGACAGGGTTTCAAAATGGACCTGAGAGCSAAGGAGCCGGTTGTGACCAAGGCTTTGGATGATGTGGGACTCTTTCTTTCTGAGCTGCCTAGAGAGACACCGTCACCTGAGCACCTGAGAGGTAACACAACATGAATTCATGATTCACACAAATCATGTTACACACCCCTCCTTTGTTTTACAAGACTTAAAACTGTCCTTCCTTCAGTTTTGATGTGGATGTATGAGAGTCTGTGCAGGCCATGATTTATTCTACCACTTTCACACATTAACTTCCTGATACATGTGTCTTACATGTGTAAAAACACCTCATATTTATACATTTTGACACACATGAACTTTAACTTTCACACACATTGGTTTTTACCTTTTAGATTAATATTTTGCCTCCAATATGTTTTTTTTCTTTCTCACACTATCATGATATTAATCAAATAAATAATTAAGAGGTCCCTGAGGGGACACTGGGGATTTTTTTCTTTTGTGTAACCTCGTAATACTTTTCAGTTCCCACGCAAACATTTTGAAAAAATTTTTTACATACATACATACATAC